GGGGTGAAAACAGAGTCAGCTGTGGGTGTTTGTCTATCGTGTGTCAGAAACCTTACTAAGAACTTTACTTATTCGATTAACTTCCACACGCACCAGCTCACTCTTGCAAACACTGAACAGCTATTTATCGAGCACCCGCTGGTGCCAGGCTCTGGGAATGAAACGAGGCAGGCAGCAGCGCCCACGGTCACAGAGCTGGGAGCAGCAGTCAGGAGGGCACTGCAGCACTGTTGGACTCCGGATGCCTTGCGGCTCCTCTGCCACGTGGTCACGGCCTCTGCTCGGCTCCTGCCGCCGCACCAGGTTGTCTTCCTGGTCCTAGCTCTGACTTGCTGTGTGATACTAAGTTAGTCACCTCCCCTCTCTGGGCCCTTCTCCGGTCTCCCATTCTTTGCTGCCTTCACCAATAATTCCTTAGTTGTTTTACCCACCTGTCCATGCCTTATTTTGAGAGCGAGCGAGCGAGATTTCACGCGTCCTTAAGGATTTAAAAGGTTCATGCTCGGTTGTATTTTAGAGTTAGTGACAGGTTCATGATGGGTGAGGGACTAGGTACTGGGGTGTGGAGGAGGTTCAGCCTGGGGGGTCCTGACTCATCTTAAGATTGTGTGCCCCCCCTTCCCACCCCCAACCCCAACAATGCAAGGCAGGGGATCCTAGGTAAAGCTGCAAGTCCGAGCATCCCTTTGGTGCCTAACTCACGCTTCCACTCGCTTGAACCCTTTGCTCTCGTGGGCTTCCCAGGCTGCCCTGCCCCCATCACGGCCGGACCAACTGACACTCTCTTCAAGATTCTGCTTGGAGGTCACCCTCTCTGTGACACTTCCACAATCTTGCAGAGACAAACCCAGCACCCCACATGTCTCTATCCCCACCCGGCCATCCACAGCACTTAGCCTCCTTGTCGCCAGGTCTAACCCGGCCCTACGGCCCTTCCTGAACTGGACCAAGGCTCGGGAGCCCCTGCTTCATCCCAGACACGTAGCCGGTCTCCCCAAAGGCCTTTCAAGTCAATGAAAGTGGAGGCTTCAGTGTGTGTGCGAACCTGGCTCTGCCTTTACTAGCTGTGTGACCTGAGGAAGCCATGTAACCTCTCTGTGCTGTGTTTCCAAATCCCAACATGATGCTAATATCTATCTGCCTTAGGGGATTCTTGGTCATCGCAATCTCCACTTACGAAGCGCCAACGATCCGCCAGACTCCAATGTGCTCTGGAAACATTATCTCTAATCTGGGCAATCCCCCCTCTGCAATGACCCCTACTTACATGAGCTCTAAATTATGCAATTATCATCTCTAAATAATAATGTGCACGTTCACTATTGCTCATGGATATAAACGACGCAGCTCAGGGCCCAGCACATAGTAGGTCCCTTATAAATGGTGACTCATGAGAAGCGTTAACTTAAATGCCCGCAGCATCAACAGACCCACCCAGTGGACAAGAGAGGAAAAGAATCCCCACATGCCGGGCACATGGGGCCACGTCCGTGAGACTCAGCAAACACTGCCCTGCACCTACTGTGGGCAACCTGCCCACCTCAGCCTGCAGTGCAAAGCTTCTTCCTGGCCACAGTGATAAATAACCATCGCAGACACTTAGGCAGGGCTGAGGGGCCCTGAGGACAAAATTATTTTTACTATCAAACCCAAATTGGTTTACTAAAACTGTCAGCGGAAACCAAACGAGATAAATTAAACGCAGCAGCTCTCGGGCCTCACATAACCCTCACTGGTGCGATGCTATTTTCACTCCCTTGGTGGGAGGAAGGAGGTGCCAAGTCCAGATGCCGCTCTGCCAAGTGTGTGCCAGAGTTTGCCAGGGAAAGCCTTGGGCTGGCGACTGGAGGACCGGGCTCCCTTCCGCAACACTTTAATCCTATTAGCTTCCTAACGCCCCTCTTCTGCTACCCAATTTGGGCGAATCCAGATTCTCCAGGGCAACCTTCAAGGCCCTGCCAGACTCGGCTGCCACCTGGCCGTCCTCCCGCCTCGATGCCACTCCTGCATCCCTGAGCTCCGGACACCCAGGGCTCCCTCCAGCTCCTTCCCAGCTGGTGAGGGTCCCCCAGCCTAGAGACAAAGCCGCAGGGTTTGAACCCCAGCTCTGCCAGTTCCGAGCCAGGTGATCACAGTCTTCCCTCTCTCCGAACCTCCGTTTACTCATCTGTAAAATGGAGATAATCACGGAGCCCACCGCCTGTGCTCATTGTAAAGGTGCCTGGGATGGGCTAAGTGCTCAGCACACATTCGAGATGGTGGGCAAATGAGAAGTGCATGGTGTTTTCCTGCTTCTGGACCTTAGCACATGCTGTTCCTTTGGGCTGGAACACTATTCCCTCCCATCTTTTCCCATCTTCTGTCTGATGCCTGGAAGAGATGAAAGCAGAGTTCCCATGTTCTCGTCTCCTTATCCAAGTCTTGGGGACGTGAGACCCCCACCCGGGAGGAGCACCGTGAGGAGAGGACAGCTGAGCCCAGCAGAAGGGAGGGGACCGCAGTCAATTTCTTGGGGAATAAAGCTGGATGGGGCCCTGTGCAAGAGAGGCTGGGAAATCAGGAGTTCATTTCACTGTCTCCCGGCTGAAGACAGATTATTTGCCCAGTAACTTCTAAAAGGGGGTTCATAAACCAGGACCATAAATTTATACTAATCATGAGGGCAATGGGGAGCCATAGAGGTTTCCTAGAGGAAGCAGAAGGCTTCCTATTGGAAACTTCAGCTAAGAAGACCCCAGCCTGCCTTGGATCCTTTGCCTCTGTAACCACTACCCAACCTCCATTCTATAGCCGTGTTAAACTTCCTTCACGTCACTAAGTAGGTCACGTTCTCTCTCACTACCAGGCTTTGCACATGCTGTTCTTGCTGCCTGGGACACTCGTCCTTTCCCTCCATCACTTACTTTCTTTTTCATCCCAGCTTATAAGTCACCTCCTCCTGGAAGCCCTCCTTGATTTCGCTCAGGCTCCCTCAGTTGCCTGCTCTCCCCATTGTTGCCCTTGTTACACCGCATATAGTTTCTTGTCCTCCTCACCCAGTAGACAGTAAGTGTGGACACCGTTCCACTTTCCTCACAGCTGCATCTCCTGGGCCATGCTAGTGCGGGCACACAGTAGGTGCACAGCTATTTTTTTCAGAGTTAATTAAGACAACCTAATCCATGCTTTTCCAAGATAAACTACCACAGAAGGAACAACTATCAGAGCCTTTCCAGTGTATAATATTGTGCTTGGCTCATAGAAGACACTAAAAAATAAATAAATAAATCTTGAATGAATGAGAGAGACAAGAATGGGAAGAAGGGGAGACATTCTCATTGAGCAGTGATGCTTCAAACCTGCCCCTAGCAGCCACAGAAACACCAATGTTCCATGATCCTCTTCACAGCTGAGAAATACTGGGGCCCAGAGAAAAGCCCAAAGTCACACGGCTGGGAGGTGGAGGAGACAGGATTCTGACCCAGGTTGACCCAGGTGCACAAGGGGCAACTGCACAGAGCCTGCAAATCCTTGACTCAACTGGAGCAGGAGATCCTGGGAGAGCCGCCGGGGACACTTCCACTGTCTCTAAGGGCCAGCCTCAAAAGAGACTCGCTAATAATTTTGCAAGTAATCTCCCTCTTCACTTGCGAGGTTTCTCTGCAGAGCCTGACAGCCTCGAGTCCTGCTGCCCAGCCGACTGGGTTTGCACATCAGCCTCGTCCAGAACCCTGAGCCCCAGAGGTCGTGGCTGCATCCAGAGAGGCTCATCAGAACTTGGCACTCCCCCTGTCCCCAGCCACAGTGTCAGGTCTGCCGGGAAGCCCTTTCTTCTGCTTCTCCAGACACCACCATCTGTCCCTGTCCCCTTCTCCACTCTGTCTCAACGGGGCAGTGGAAAGAGCATGAATGAGCAGCCGCAAAGTCTGGACTCAGATTTCAGCTCTGCTACTTGCTAGCCGGCGGCTCTGGTCCAGATGATAGGATGATTACTTTACCAGGGTATTTTTGTGTGTGAGAATTACCCAAGATACACATGTTTAGAACTCTCATTGGTGCATCTAGCTCAGAGTAGGTGCTTCCCCAATCCCTGGGGAGTGGGTGGGGGGAATTCTCATCGGAACATCTAATAGGTGCTATCATGGAGAACAGGAAACAGGCACACAGCCAGTAAGTCTGTTCGCTGCAGCACTTCTTTGTTTAGAAGTAATTTCCTGAGCAACTACTCTATCTCAGACCCTGGAACAGAGATAAACCTGACTGCAAGGACCTTCTGGTGTAGTTGAGAGAGACAGACAGGAAATAATCTACTGCAACACAGAGAGTAGGTGTCATACTGCCCTCCTCCTCCTGGTAATACTAGACATTCAGTCCTTTGAAAATGCTGTGCTTGCTCTTGCCACAGGGCCTTTGCATATTCTATTCCTTTTGGGTGCATTCACTCCAACTCATCTCTTAGTTCTGGGATTTAACATCAGACCCCCAAGGAAGGCTTTTCTGATCTTCCTCTTTATAGCAAATCCCTGTTACAGAATCTCCTAGCACGATTGATGTAAGCCTATCCTTACATCAATGGCCAGAGTTGCAGTATACAAGGATTGGTGTATGTCCTCATTTAATGCCTGCTTCTCTAGTAGAAAGAATTTCCTGAGCTTAGGGACGTTGTTTCTGTGTGTATGATGCTGTTTCCTTCACCATTGGGACCCCAGTTCTTTGCACAGCCCCTGCACATAATAGATGCTAATTTAATATTGGTTAAAAGAATAAAGCGGGGTGGGGGGAATGGGAAGAGATTAACCAGAGAACTTATATACACATATGCATAACCAGTAGACACAGACAATAGTATGGTGAAGGCCTGGGGGTGGGGCAGGGGCTGGGAGGAGGGAGGGAAAGAGGAGGGGGTGGAAATTGGAGGATATCTGTAATACTGCCAACAACAACAATAATAAAAAGAATAAAGCAGGACCGTTTTCTTCCTCAATCTGATGGGCTGGAGGGGCCCACCAATAAGCACTCACAATTGGATATCTAAGAAGATCCGCTTCTCCTCCCCTACATGGATCCTCCAGATACAATCTTCACCTTCCGCATATGGCTCTGGCCAGTTTGGAGACAGCACCACCCCAGCCACAGCAGACAGCTCCCCACCACACATGGCTGTAAGAGACACAGACAGACAGACACACTTCACTTATGAGGAAGCCGATCTGCCACAGCGGTTGAGTGTGAACTATGAAGTCATACAGCCATGGCTCGCCGTGCACGGCCAACAGGTGCCTTCTCCTCGGGGAGTCCGTGCATGTCTGCGGGATGATCGGATTAGGGCTGGCCACCTGCCTCCTTTAGCGGAGGGTTGGTGAAGGTGCACCTTGGTCCTTTCAGGACCACGGACAGAGCTCAAAGTTCTGAATGATGTCTCAACAACCCTCTTCTTCCCTGGGCGGGGTGAGTAAAGGCTAAGAAATGGTACATTCAGGTCAGGTGGGTCTAGATCCGAGTCCTGCCTCTCCAGGAGCACACTCTGTGGCAAGGCAGGTCGCTCCTTGGAGAGTTAGTTCCTCTTCTCTGTGAAGCTGGAGTAACACCACTGTGGACGTCATTGGGTTATTCTGCAGCCTAATTGAACTCAGGGGTGTCAAACACAGCGCAGTGCCCGGCACAGGTAAGAGCTCAGTAATTCTTAGTTAACGTCACTGTGAAAGACCCCAGCTCTGAACTGAAGCAGAGCGATGACCGTACCTGGTGCCTGGCCCTTTAAATCCCGCTCTGTGTTTACCGCTTTGGAAAGTTCTCAATGTGGCAGAGGCCAAAGCGCCAATAAATTCCGCTCTGTTAAACCAGCACATTTAATACAGAGATCAATCCCTCACCACGGTGGGGCTGTTATTCCACGTCAGCCACCATCCAGGTGGTGGCTGCCAGGAGTGGGGTTTCTCTTCATTACGCCCACGCTCCGCAGGGGTCCAGGCTTGAGGTGGCTCCGCAGCGCTGAATATGGGAAATGGGGAGGGCAGAGCACTTGGGCCGGGGCAGAGGAGGGTTCTGCACAGCCAGTGCTGTCCAGAGGGCTCAGATCACAGGTCTCTGAGGACAGAGAGACCTGGGTTCCATTCCCGCCTCTGCCAATTACCCTCCTTGGGTTCGTAGGCCTGTCACGTCACAGCTTGTTTCCCCTCTACAAACGGGGCCAAAAGGATGGGTTGTCGTGAGGATTAGATCAGATAATCACACACAGCCCTTGGCGGAGTGCCTGAAACAGTTTTTGCATGTCTATGAACAACCATTATCATCATCATTGTTAATTGGGCTCAGGACCGCCCTGTGTTGTTGGGTGAGTTGCGCACCACACAAGAATGCATAGGAGACGGGGTGCCTGGGAGCTGAAACCTACGCCCAGATCTTGTCGCTAAGCTGCGCACCATGGGGCCTGTGCTTGGACAAAGAGGCATCTTTTAAAATTGATCAATTTTCACGATACAGTTTTGTATATCCAGTATGACGTACAGTGATGTGTTTATAAAACAAGTCACCTTTGCATAGAAAGTAGGCTGGACGGAAGGGCACGGTATTGATTTTATGTAACGGGCAATGGGATGAGACATGACTTCTTGTCTTTCCATATTTTCCAAATTATCTTTCATGCTAATGAACTATGTTTATAATGTTGGTTTTGAAAAATTTACATTGTGCTGTATGACTTTTAAAGTCTCTTCTGGGTCTAAGAATAAAGGATTATAAGAACTCAAAGCCATTCAATGAAAAAGAGTTTCATGACATGGTGCTTGTGCAATAATATTATTTTCATTTATTACACACACACAAAATAAAATGTATTGATTTTACCCTGGCCAGGTAGCTCAGTTGGTTAGAGCATCGTCCCAATGCACCAAGGTTGCGGGTTTGATCCCTGGTCAGGGCACATACAAGAATCAACCAATGAATGCATCAGTACGTGGAGCAACAAATCAATGTTTCTCTCTCTCTCTCCCTCACTCTCTCTAACATCAATCAATCAATAAAAATTGACCTATTTTGTAATTTTCTCAAGGACAGCATACCTGACCCAAAGGACAGAAGCCCGGGCAAGGGTCGTGATGCTAAAATTGGTTTGTAAAGTAGTGACGCGGCTCTAAACAGAGGCCTTGGTTTTCTCATCTGAGGGGCGGAGGTCGCTGGGGAGCCCCAGAGAGAGGGGCAGTGGGGTCACTCACCTCTGCACAGGGGCTCCGTGTCATTCCAGTAGGGGTCCCGCACATTGACGCACTCAATGATGGCTGGGCCCTGCTCCAGGGAGTGGCCGGGGTCACAGGTGAACTCCACAACGGTGCCGATGTTGTAGGTCAGGTCGGAGGTGGTGAAGTTCCCATTCTGAATGTAAGGCTCATAGCAGTGGCCTTTCTCAAAGGCTGGGGAGGGGGCACAAAGAGGGACAGCAGCTCGGGTGCGTCGGGGGGCTGCTCACGGGGCTGCATCGCAGAAGATGGGTCCCTTCCTAAAGTTCAGGGATGCTCCCAGGACAATGGGCTCCAGATCCTGTGACCTGGTTCCGGCGGACCTGCTGAGGACCCTCGGCCATTTATTTGGCTTCTTGGGGTCTCATAGGCAAAATGGAACTAAGACTCTCTGACCTCCCAACCCTGCAGAGCTTTTGTGTTTAAATTCCTTGTACTATCCCAGATGGATTCTTTCCCCGTCCCACAACTGACAGTCCTGATTTCTACCGCTTGAAACCATGTTTGTCTAAGAGAAAGACCAACTTTTCTTAGGGAAGACAGAACAGAGAGTTCCCGAAGGGCATCCTTTCTTAAAGGGCCAGGGCTGAGCAGGAGGGGCCTTGCTAAGGACTCGCAGAGGAAGAGGTGGCTGGATACTAAGAGGGCTCACTCAGCAGAGCAGAGCTCAAGGTCCAGACGCCAGCTGGACAGAAGTCTTATCTCCATTTTCTTCGAACTGTTGGCCTTGGTCAACTCACTCAGTTCCCTAACCTCAGTTTACCCATCTGAAGACAGTAACAGCTCTCACGCCGCAGTGCAGTAAGCACTGAGTGCACACTGGACGTAAGACCCTGGGCACATGGTAAGTGCTCAGCAAAAGGCAGATGTTGTTGTTAGTAAAGCTAAGTCTGCTTTTGGAAGTCCAGGGGTTAGTCTGGCCACTGGGTCTCCCCTGTCTTTGGGCAGCCAGATTTGAACCTCCCGGGACCCAGCCCCAGCCCTCCCCTGATTCCAGCCCCCCAACCTGAGGACAGGGGAGGCCCCCGTGGACCCTCACCCTCGAACCGGATGTTGAAGGATGAGGCTGCCCGAGCCTGGTCAGACGTGAACTCGATTCGGATGCTATTGCCCTCGCTCAGCAGGCCCTCGAAGGGGACGCTCTCGGTATGAAGAGAGTCGTAGAGAAGAGCGGACTTGTTGGTCAGCCCACTGTAGACCATCATCCTGGCGGTGGGGAAGGAGAGGAGGGCTACTGAGGGGTCTCCTCGGGTCACAGCCACACACAACGGGGGTGTGTGTGTGTGCAGTGAGCACCTCTCATTCCCGGCTCAAAGCCCTGCTTTGCCCCTGACATGCGGACAAGCTGCTCTATCTAGTGGAAACGGTTTCATTTTCTGTAGCATGAAAGAGTTGTCCTAGATTCATGCACTGACTCTGAGGCCGCAGGGAAAGTGATGTGGACGATGGAATAAACCAGACTAGTTAGTTGATATTGGTTATTATTGCTAAAGGAAAAGTTGGAATTAATGAGACCCCATCATTCCTGACACAGTGGTATATATAGTTCAACAGTTAGAATCCTGACTCTGTAACTTCTGAGCTGTGTGACTTTGGACAAGGACACTTCACCTCATAGAGCCTCTGTTTCTTCATCTGTAAAATGGGCACAGTCTCACCTACACTCTAATGTAGGTGGGACTGTGCCCATTGAGTGTCTGGAACAGAGCAGGCACATAAGTCAAATTTATTCAGTATTTGACCCCTAACAGGCTCTGTCTCTGATGTTCATTTCCTAAGAGTAGTTGGGGAGTCAGGAGTGCTGATTTCTAGTTTCCAGTGCCCCACCGACTAAGTTCACATAAATCTCAACGCATCTGGGGCCTCAGTTTCCACCATGATGAAAGGAGGGATCATAACATCTTTCCTACCGATTTTATAGGTGGGCTTTGAAAACATGGCAGGATAAAGTGGCCTGGAAAATAAAATGCGTCAGACAGGCTGTCAGTATGCACTTCTACTGTTATTAAAACCATCTGATACTTGACTCTTTGCTAGCCTTGGTATTTCTACAGACGTTATGCAAAAGTAGAGAAAGAGTATACCAACTGGGTAAGTTATTTTTATGGAGTCATAAACAGGCATTTAAATCCTTTGAGTTTTGTTTACTGTGACCCATAAAAGGCTTTACGTTTTGTTGCCCAGATGACTTTCTAGTGTCACCGAAAGACACGAATGTCGGATCCAGTGTGCTCACTTTGCCGGGTTTTCCACGTGACGGAGATGAAGCGGGGGCTGAGGGGAGGCCAGGGGCCCCTCCCAGAGTGAGGCGGCACCATGTCACAGTCTCTGACCTCTGCTGACTCTGTGGTATCTTGCAGGCCATGCTCCAGGAATTCCCTTTTGAAGAACTAAAGCCTCTGGCAAAGGTCACTCTGGAGGAAAACCTCAAGGTCTCGGAATCTCTGTAGCCTATTAATCTTCCCAAAATAGCAACTTTCTAGTTATACTCTCTTGACTGTCTGAAATAATAATCAGTTTTTATTTCAAATCCATAGATAGTCTATAGTCAAATGGGTTTGCAAAATACTGCGTTAAATAAAAATTAAACATCCTCCTGTCTCTGCAGGACTTGTCAGTACCTTTGCTGGCTAATGTATATTAGTACCTCCCAACACAGGGCTAGGGTATATGGTGTCCCCCAAACGTGTTTGATCAGAGAACACACCCTTCATGCTGAATATTATAGCACTGGAGTTTAGAAAGACTTCATTTTGGACCCCAGGTTACCTTCCCAGCTTTTTCTGAGGTTTAGATCGAGGTCCCCTTTCTTATCTAGCTCTAAACTCTTGCAGTTTATATCATGTGTTGTTTTAGCTTTTTTCCTCAAGAAAGTATGTGGAATAAATAAGATGTAACGGCCCTTTTCTTCTTAGCACGAGCGTCTGCATTTTGTGTGTGTGCTGACTTCGAAACTCAGGGAACTTCTACGAACTTCTCTCCCTATGGACACATGAGAACTGGTTTTCCCTGGTGGTCGTCCACTCATACCTCCCGCAGACCTTTGCGGGGCCCCATAGAAACTGCGAGTGAAGACCGGCCGGTGTGGCTCGGTGGATTGAGCATCGTCCCATGGACTGAGAGGTCCGGGTTCAGCTCCCGGGTTGCGGGCTTGATCCCCAGTAGGGGGCATGCAGGAGGCAGCCGATTGATGTTTCTCTCTCTCTAAACTATCAATAAAAACACATTAATAATAATAAAAAAAACTACGAGTGAAACGATAGTACCAGTGGCTCTGGCTCATTTATCACGATGCCAATAACTTTCAGAAGACACTTACTTGGATGAACCTTTTTCTTTCTGCCCGCCCTCATCATCTGGTGTGAAGTAAGCGCGGTTTATTCTGCACCATGCAGAAGAGGCAGACCCAGCGCCCACACTAGAACGTGTCCTGCACCAAAGGTTCCCAGGTTTGGCTTCTTCATCAGTCTCCAGAAGGAAGGACTGGGGCTCTGTTCCCCGAAGTCCCCCAGGTCATTCTGTTGCTACCAAGAAGCCATGTTTTGACGCCCCAGTTCTACACCTTGCGGGTTAAAGCTGGGATTTATCGGTATGGAGTGGACTCAAGAGTTGGGTAAGTTATCCAGCAGTCTGGTGTTTTCTACAAGAACCCTTCCTCCTTAATGAGGCTCATGGTCTAGGTTTGAAACTTCAAAGAAGCCTGGGCATTATAATTCTAAGATCAAAATCTGATCAGTTCCAGAATTCTGAGGTGCTGGCTTTCTGGACATGCAGTGAGCACTGTCGGCGCCCTAGCCGTACCCCTTCAGCACTCACTGCTCACAGATTGCCTGCTGGCCTCTTACCCAGCGTCTCTGACAGTCAGCCAGCTCAATGGCGCAAAGGGTGGAAGGCAATGTTGGGGAGTACGTATGCCAGGAGCATCCTTCATCCAAGCAAGTAGCCCAGCTCCCCTGCCCCTCCGAAAGGACCATCTGAGGTGTGCTCAGCAGTTTCCCAGAGATCCCCCCGGACGAGCCCAGCTGCCCACACAGTCGCCAGCGTAGTAACGCATACTGTGTTGGCTCTCTTTTCTCCCTTGCTCTCATGCCTCTACCAGCATTTTCTTTTTCTTTTTTTTTCATCTTCACCCAAGGACATTTTTTCCATTTTTTATTCAGATAGAGTGGGAGGGAGAGAGAGGAAGAGAGAGAGAGAAACATTGATGTGAAAGGAACACATCGAATGGCTGCCACCTGCACGACCAACCAGGGCCGGGGACAAACTGCAACCGAGGTACGTGCCCTTAGCGGGAACCGAACCCGGGTCTCTCTGGACTGCAGGCCGACGCTCTAACCACGGAGCCAAACTGGCCAGGGTTCCACCAGCATTTTCTAGGATCAACTCCCAAATAAACCACTTTCCCTCACATCCTCGTCACCTCTCTGTTTCCAAGGGAACCAAACCCAAAACAGCAAATCTAAGCAGCGAAGGTCCTAGTTTGCAAGAACGTTCAAGAATATCCTAGCGTAAGGTCATAGCACGGTACAGTTTTAAGACTCTGGATTCTATGTCTCTTACGAGGAGCTATAGATATGCTCTTACTTAGATATTGTCTTGTGGCTTCTCCCTGCCTTTTTCATGAGCACATGTCGAGTTTTTCCATGTCAACTTCTTATTTTACCAGGAACCAATGTTCTCCTGTTCTCCGTGAAGCCTAGTATGTGACTGGGCACAGGGCAGGTGCTGAATGAACACTCTCTCTCTCCTTGTTCAGCTTCAAAAAGGGATTTTTCAGGGGAAAGAAAGAGAAGGCAAGGTGACATGGGGGGGTCTGGATCCCCTTTTGCCTCACCCTGCTGTGTGACCTAGGGCTTGCCCCTTTTCCTCTGCAGGCTCTAGCATCCTTACCTGTGAAAGGGACAGATCAAAGCTGGTGATCTCGAAGACATTTTCCATCCTCTCCAGCTCTTTCTTTCTTGACTTCCATGAGCCAGAATTTCAGCCGTCTCAAGACTGAATCTCTAGCCGCATTCTAACACCCTGGGAAGGAATGGAGATGGCCGGGGACCCTCAGAGGTTTACCTGTCCTTCTCATGCAGCGACCACCTCTCAAAGTGAAGATGCAGCTTCTGGCCCTCTGGAGCTCCGATTGTCCACACGCAGAACTGACTCCCGTTGGCATTTCCGGGGTAACTTGGAGAGAGGACGTGGCCAATGGTGGCATTGTGCACAGTCCCTCCACAAGGGGCTGGACCGGAAAGTAAGGGTGAGTGGGTGATGAGAGGAGAGAGAGAGAGAGAGAGAGAGAGAGAGAGAGAGAGGAAGTGAGTATTTCATCTTCTCCCGATCCCCATCCCTACCCTTTCATGGGAGAAACTGGATGGTAAGAGAGAGACCCTGGAAAAGTCCTGTCCTCCTGAGTGGAGTTTATCCTGTTGGAGAGGAGATCTCATTCCATAATAAAATAATAAAATCATGCAGTTCTAAACGATATTCTATTCTCCTCTACCAAATCGGTCAAGGTAAAGAGCAGCAATAAATTGGAGATGGCAAAGGTGCTGGAAGTGGTCACTCGCGTTCAGGACTGGTTAGAAAGCAAACTGCATGCCCTTTCCGGAGGGCAGGTTGGTGGAAAATCTAGACGGTATTTTCAAACACTTTGACCTAGTAATTAAGGTCTTGGGAATTCATTCTAAGAAAAATATTTAGAGCTTTTCGCAGAAATGTATGAATGAGGATGCCCACTGCTAGACTCTTTTCTAAGAGCCCCAAATGAGAAACAACCCGACTGTCTACTCACAGGTGCTTGGTAAAATAAATACATTCCACGGATAGTTTGTAAAAATCATACCCTCCAAGAATACTTGAGACTACAGGAAAATACTCACTATTATTTTAAGTTAAAAAAAAGTAAGACAATGGTCTGCCATAGCTATTTCAATGAGTTATAGGCAAGGGTCAATCGAGACCATGAATATAAAAGCGATTTGCTCCTATATTCTATACTTTTATATTTCTTGAAAACACATTTCTTAGCCCTGGCCAGTGTGGCTCAGTTGCTTGGAGCATCATTCCGTACACTGAATTGTCAAGTGCTTTTCAGTCAGGGCACATTCCGGGGGTGCAGGCTCCATCTCCGATTGGGGCACGTGTGGGAGGCAACCTATTGATGTTTCTCTCTCCCATCGATGTTTCTCTCTCTCTCCCCAGCTCCCTTCCCTCTACCTCTAAAATCAATTTTTTAAAAAAGCATGTCCTTGGGTAAGGCTTAAAAAGTATATATTTTTTACCAGAATCATAGAATATTTTTATCATTAAAAATCTAAATGTGAGCCCTGGCCGGTTTGGCTCAGCGGTTAGAGCGTCGGCCTGCGGTACAGAGAGACCTGGGTTCGGTTCCCGCTAAGGGCACGTACCTCGGTTGCAGTTTGTCCCCGGCCCTGGTTGGTCGTGCGGGTGGCAACCACTCGATGTGTCCCTTCACATCGATGTTTCTCTCTCTCTCTCTCTTCCTCTCTCTCCCTCCTGCTCTGTCTGAACAAAAAATGCAAAAAAAATGTCCTCGGGTGAGGATTAAAAAAAAAAAAAAATCTAAATGTGAGACAATGAGTTCACTGTAAAATCGTGATGATAATTCCACCCTCTTTAGATAACTGTGGTGAAGAACCAATAAAATGACACATGTAGAGGGCTTGGCACAGTCCCTGGCACAGGGTAGGTGCTCTAAACGTAGCCCGCAGTGCTGTGCTATGGCTCAGGAGCCGAGGAGGTGGAAGACACTGTCCGTGACGGGGGCGCCGGCCATCTGTCCTGCCCCTCGCTCGCTGCCTCTCTGTCCCCCTTTCTCGCCTTGTTAAAGCCAACTGATAGCTCTGTTCGGTTTCAGTTCGCCAGCCATGGCTCTTCATCCATCTTTCTTAGCACAAATTGAGGCTTAATTCCTCCTTGATTTCACACTTAGATAAAAATTAACGAGAGAGAGGCGCAGAGACCCACTGCCCTGTGATTGCTTTTTTCGTTGTTAAAAGCAAAGAAGAAACATTCAGAAGGGCCTTGGGGGAACAAGACTGCAACGAGGAGACCGCAGAATTTATTAGCAGCTCTCACTTGCTTTTCGGAGTCCACTGATTATGAATGCCTGGGGGGCAGGAATTAGGTTTATTGTTCTAAATGTTCTCCTTGTCCATGGCTCGTGGCCTGGGACATAGTAAGCACTCAGTTAATATGGCAGCCTATAGCCCGCTGGTCACCATCAGGACTTTTGAGATTCTAACAGGGTTTAGCTGAGGATGGTCAAGGCCTTGCCCACTGGAGCAGGAACAGCGCGGCATGGCCCAGTGCTTCCCAGTCTGCAATGTGCACACGAATTACACAAGGAGCATGTTAGGATGTAGGCTTGGATCCGGCAGGTCCTGCATGAAGCCTGGGATTTTGCATTTCTAATTATCTCGCTGGTCTGCAGACCACGTTTTGTGTACTGAAGGTGCAGTAAGGGAAAGAGCTCCGGAGAGAAGGGTTCTGGACTCAGTTCAGTTTCTGTCTGATGACTTGGGGGCAAGTGAGCCTCAGTTTTCTCATCTGTATAATGGGGATAATGATTCCTTCTCAGTTTTCTCATCTGTATAATGGGGATAATGGTTCCTTCCACCACGGAGGATTGCTGAGGATTTATTGCAGCCCTGGCATGGTGCTCTGTATGTATTGACTGGGCTCAAAATATGGCAGCAGGCACACCCAAAGCGCAAGCAACAAAAGAAAAGATAGATAAATTAGACTTTGTCAGAATTAAAGACTTTTTTTTTTTTTGCATCAAAGGGCACTATCAAGAAAATGAAAAAAGTGGGGGAGAATATTTGCAAATCATATATCTAATACAGGTCTAGTAGCCAGAATATATATAAGAACTCTTTCAACTTAACAATAACAAGACAAACAATCAGATTTAAAAATGGGCAACGTACTTGAAGAGACATTTCTCCCGGAAGATACACAAATGGCCATTGAGCACGTGTAAAGATGCTCAATATTATTGGCCATCAGGAAAATGCAAATCAAAACCACAATGAGATACCACTGCACACCCACTAGGATGGCCATGACAAAGAAAAGAAAATGTGGAAGATAAGGAGTGTCAGAGAGGACGTGGAGGAATTTGTACTCTTGCACACGGCTGGTGGGACTGTAAAATGGTGCAGCCGCCGTGGAAAATAGTTTGACGGTTTCTTAAAAAGTTGAACATAAAATTACCATAGGACCCATCAATTTCACTTCTGTATATATACCAAGAGAAATAAAAACATGTCCACACAAACACTTGTTCACAAATGATCAAGGCAGCATTGGTCATACTAGCCCAAAGTGGAAATGATTCAAAGGTCTACCAATCAGTGAACATAGAAAACATGGTCTTATCTATATAATAGAATATTATTCAGCCATAAAAAGGAAAGCAATTTTGATACACGCTCCAACATGGATGAACCTTGGAAACAATACGCTAAGTGAATGAAGCAAGTCACAAAAGACCACGTATAATATGATTCCATTTATATGAAATGCCCAGAGCAGACTTCAGAGAGACTTAAAGCGTATTGGTGGTGGCCAGGGTGGAGGGGGAGGGAAGAATGGGGAGTGACTGCTAATGGGGACAATCATTCCTTTGGGGGTGATAAAGATGTCCTGGAGCCACGCAGTGGTGACGGTTGAACAATACTGTGAATGAACTGGATGTCAGGAATGGTAAATCTTACGTGATGTGGGTTTTATTACATAAAAACATTTAGGTGGCAATACTCAATGGTATCTCCTTCTGGGGTGACAGTTTAGCCCTAAGGTCAGTCTTTTTTTTTTTTTTTTTAAATGCTTTTATTGATTTTAAAGAGAAAGGGAGAAGGAGAGAGAAACATCAATGAAAGAGAACATCGATCAGCCGCCTCCTGCATCCCCCCCACGGGGGATCAAGATCACAACCTGGGTATGTGCCCTGACTGGGAATCGAACCGATGACCTCTTGGTGCATAGGGCAACGCCCAACCAACTGAGCCACGTGGGCCAGGGCCCTAAGGTCAGTCTAAGTGCCCTGGAGGCTGGTCCCCCCTCCCACCGAGCCACCCCGCTGGGCCCGGCTGCGGCGGGAGTGTACCTGAGCAGATGGGCTCCTGGCTGCTCCAGTGCGGCTTGGAGGCATTGATGCAGGTCAGCGTCTTGGGGCCCTGCAGCTCGTAGCCCGGGTGGCAGTGGAAGTGGGCCACCCCGCCTGAGTGCAGGTCCATCACGGTGACGTCCCCGAAGTCCGGCCGGCGGGGAAAGTTGCAACTCAGCATGAAGGCTGGGGAGAAGCCAGAGGCAGACAGTCACCCCTCCGAGGGCAGAGATACAGAACACGACCCACATCCTGGGGGCCAGTGTGTGCGGCGGAGGGAAGACGGGGTCCCTGGTGACCCCGGGGAGCTGGAGGAGGGCATTTTACGTCCCTTGTAGATCAGGTGCTGAGACAGCCAGACGAGCACCTCGGCTCAAAGCCTCACCCTGCCTATCTAGACACAGCAGTTTTGGGGTGAAAAATGAGTTCCCAAACCTCATTTGAACCCCTCTCCCCATGGCCCTCCCGCACAACCATCTCGGGGTTGTTGCAAAGGCAGACTTGTGGACCACAGCGAGAATGACACGCGCTTTGGAGACGCCCGAGGGTAGGCAGACGTGAAAACAACTCTCCTGGGCCGGGAGGGCTGGGCTTTGGGAGGAGACCAGGCTGTTTACATTCTCACTCCATCACTTAGGACATGTGTGACCTTGAGAGAGTGACACAGTGCCCTGAACGTCACTCTTCTCGTCTTTCCAGTGGCGTGGATAACGGTCCCCGTGTCCCCGTGGTGAGGATCACACGGGGAGCGCAGAGGAAGCCTCCTGAGCCCAGGGGGCGCACAGGCAGCACCCACTCCCCGGGGGACGGAGGGGGGCACGCGGCCTGGCCGGGCTCCTCAGCGGACTACGGTTCCATCCCTCCTGCCACGCAGGATCCCCGTGTTCCCAGTGCCCATTAGGGGATAAATTCCAGTTCATGACTCAACAAGCCAGTCCCTCCTAGTTTTTAAATGAACAAAGACAATCATCTGGAAAAGCTGTGAAGAAACGGACATTCCCACGGACAGTCATCCGCCTGTTTCGGATACGTTGACAAATGAATGGTTTTTCCGGCTGTTTGGCCAATGTGACGTGAACGGGGACAGTTCCCGATACCGAGATGGGCGGAGATTTGGCGAATAAGCAGGGGAGCCCCTGGTTAGGGGAGTGGGGAAATGGGGGAGAGAGAAAAGGAAGAGAGAACGGACGGTGGGGATGAAGAGACGGAGAGGAAGGAAATAAAAGAAGCCAGAAGAAACAGATGTGAACGGAAGGAAGAGAAATGAACAGAGAGCAAAAGAAACGACATTTAGAAACAGACAAAGTGGAAAGAAAGAGACGTCATAGAAGAAAAAAGAGACAGGGACCCGGTGGCAGACCCTTTGCCGGAAGTCTGCGGACTCTCACGTATCAAATACGGGGACCATGCACTTGGACGGGGAAAAGTGGCTTTCTTATTGTCACGAACGTCTGGCCAAACTGAATATTTCCTTCCATCACGAATGTGGGCAACCAACGGTAACATAGTCTTAGATCTGTGACTTTGTCATCAAGAGAAATCACAGAGATTTTCAAGTCATCATGGACAGCTTGACATATTTCTTATGCTCCTCCGTACTTTGAAATTGCAGTAATTATCAGAGCTGCCAGGAGATTTTATTATTTAACGCGTTAAAGAAGTACCTAGATTATGACAGCAGAGATTAAAACAATATTTTGACAACTGCAATTCAATGCGATCCGTTTCCTTTTTAATTGACGTCGTGTTCACGGTTTTCAAAGTGTTATTTAGAGGAGGGGTCCACAGGTTTCCCCCAGCTCCCAGAGGGACCCCCGGGACAAAGAGATCGAGAACCCTCGGCTCCTGGGAGAAACTGAGGCAAGCAGCGACGTCCCTCGGCCCCTGCCCGTCCTACCCTGGTAGTGCAGCTGGAAGGTGCCGAGGCCATCGTCCTGGAAGGTCCGGAAGTAGACAGAGATGGTGTTGGTGGGGCTTCGGATGACCTGTCCCTCCACAAGGAGAGTCTGGTTGGCCAGGATGGTCAGGGTGGGGCCGTCCACCCCGCGGATGGAGAGCAGCTCCCCCTCGGACAGGTTGACGCTCTTCACCTGGGGACAGTCCGGGGTAGCAGAGAGAAAGTCGTGTTTGAGCCACGGCCCTGTTAGGCTGGGAGGCTGCCAATGTGGTACCCCTCAGCCAGCCCCTAGCGAATGGGACAGAGAGACCCGACCCTGAAAACATCTGGTGCTTCTCATATCCCCGCAGGTGACAGGAGGAGGTGAAACCAAGCTGAGGGGCAGAGGCGTGGGAGGATGGGCGAGCCCCCGCCGCTGGGTCCTGGGAGAGAGGCTTCTGAATGCTGGCAGCTGATGTGAGTTCCCCTGGAGCCTGGGGTGGGGGCAGGGGCTGGATTAGCTGTGCCGGAAGCCCACCCTCCAGGGAGACAGGAGAAGGCATTGCCCCAGGATGCAAGCTCCATGTTGCTCAGTGTCCCTAGTGCCTAGGATAGGGCCTGGCACATAGTAGGTGCTCAATAAAAACTTATGGAGTGACTGAACACTTTTCCCCTTTCTGTATGAACTGGAAGTGAGTGGGGGCATCGTCTCTAGGGCATTCCTAGTCCACTCTCTTATCCTCCCACGTGGGGGCTCCAACTCCCGAGCTTTCAGAGTCATGTTCTTGGTACTCCCCAGGGAGACACATTAGTGGTGCACAAGGACTTCGAACAAATGGAGTGGGGGTGGGATGGAAACGTTAGTCAGTTCCCAGTGTCCAATTTGGATATTTATGCCTTTCCTAGGGAGACCCGGAATTCTAGCTTCTCTGGCCCTCATGTAAGCAGGGCAGGCCTCACCTGTAAGTCCTTTTTCGTTCAGGCCATATACCTTACTCCCTTTTCTTTTTGATGAACTCCTACTTACTCTCCAAAGCCCCACTAAAATTGCCCTCCTCTGTGAGACCTGTCCACTAAGAAGTTTGCCCATCCCTCCACCGTGGTTCTACCACATACCCTATAAACGTCTCCTAGGGACCTTTCAAACGTCAGTGTCAGTCTCGTTCACTAAGTGGTGAACTCAGTTGTGCACACCACCATACCCCAGGGTCAACAGCCATGACTGGTACCCAGTAGGTGCTCGATGAAGGGATTCTACTGTGCCCGAGAAAGGGCTCCCAACGGTGTTGGGCACAGAGCGAGTCCTTTCATGTGCGGAGGAAAGGGTCCGTGAGGTACCAGATGAACTGCAACTTTTGTCCAGTCAATTTTAATTCCGTGAACATTTATTAAGTACCTACTATGTGCTATGTACTGTGCAAGGTCTGGGAGCTGCACAGACCACGGGTTCTGCTGCGTACCTTTGCTCTTGCCTGTGTAAGTCAGAAAATCTTCCTAAAACGCAGGCCGTACAGCTGACTCTACTCAGATACATCTGAGGGCTCTTTCGTTGCCCATTAGGAAAAGGCACAAATCCAGACCGCTAGCCTCGGCCTGGAAGGGTCTGTCACCACGTGGTGCCAGCCTCTTTTACTGCTTCACCCCATTCCTCTCCTCTGGGCAGTTCACTGGCCCCAGGCATGTCTCTTGAGTCCATTTTAAGGACTTCCATGGGGCGTCAGCTGGGGAAGGTCTGGGACTGGGGAGCAGAATTGGGAATACGCACAGAGTGTTCTCTTTGGCTGAACGTTCTGTGCATTATCATATTGATTCCTCCTAAAACTCTGCATAGTAGCAACATTATCCTGTTTCTTTTACTGATGGGGAAACTGAGGCTCAGAGAGACGAAGTCCTTAGCCCAAAGTCATGCAACTTTTACTGGTACAGCTGAGACCCCAAACCCCGAGGTTGGGGCACACTCTCGCCCTGATTTTCCATCTGTTTGCAGGCAAAGGTTTATGACTCAAATGAACTAGGTGGGGCTTCCCTGAGTGTGTGTGTGTGTGTGTGTGTGTGTGTGTGTGTTTGATAAGCAGGGTATCAGAGGACGTTCCTTCTGGGTAGCACACCTCACACTTATCAACATGTCCCCTTCCCTTCATGTGTGCCAAGCTATCTCATCTGTGCCCTGAGTTAGGAACTCCTATTCGTCTGTCAAAGCCTGGTTCGAATGGCCCTGGTTAGGGCAAAGAGAGGGCCAAACCAGTTAGGACGGTAACGGTGAGAGAGAACCCTTAGGAGACGTCCTGCTGGACGAGACGCCACGCAGGGCACCTCTGCAGTCACCTGGAGCTCCACCCCGTAGCCGGTGTAGACGGTCACGTTGTACGTGCACTCAAGGGCGCTGCTGAGGGGCAGCGGCGGGTAGTCGCTGGAGTCAATGTAGCCTTCGGGGTCGGAGAGGCTCACGCTGCAGAGAGCTGGAGGAAGGCGCTTGGATTAGAACACCGCTCAAAGCTCAGATGCAACGTCTCAGATGGGCTAGGGGGTGGCGCAGGGCCTCTGGGGACACCTGAGGTGTTCTCCTGCCCCTCCCCCCCGACTCGTAATTCTCCTTCAGCTCCAGAATCAACATGACAATCAAAAGAGCAAGAGTTAACATGGAATGATCACCTACTACATACTACTAGGCACTCTCCTGACCAGTGAGTAGGGGTGACCCCATTCACCCGTGGAGGGACTGACACTCTGTCCCTATTTTAGAGATAAGTAAACCGAAGCTCAGAGAGGGGCAGCGTCTGGGTGAAGCTCACACAGCAATCAGGTTTCAAACCCAGACTCATACTGTTTGAGTGACCACATTTCATTTGTCCAAATCCACGTACGATGGACAGTTGGTGTCTCTCTGAAGAGGGAAAGGAAGGTAGAAACAGACCCACTACCAAGACTAGAGAAGTACTTGTAACGGTAAGAGTAGAAGCACTTCGAGAGGACCACGGCCACTTTGAAGGGCTCTGTTCTGAGATGGGGAGGTTCTGAACCCTGCTCTTTAGCTGTGTGGTCTCGGGCAGGGTGCTTGATGTTTCAGGGTCTCAGTTGTCCCATCTTTAAAACGGGAACATTGATTCTGAGCCACAGGATCAAGCTCATAGCCAGGGTTGATAGACGGTAAGTGGTGGAGGGGCCCCCCAGGCCCTGTCCACTGTGGGGGCCTCACTGACGCTGCGGGGCCGGGGCTGCATACCTGGGGCCTGCTCAGTCGTGATGACCGTGGTGGTGATGATGGTGGACGTCGTGGTCTCCTGGCTCTCCTCTGAGGCCGAACCAGTCAGCTCATTCTCCCCTTTGTCCATCGAGGTCATGGGGCTGGTGTCGTCAGGAGGAGCCTCGTGGGCCTCCTCGGGCACGACGGGCTCCCCGGGGCCCGGCCTCTGGGGGAGCGTGGGCGCCATGTAGGACCGCGAGGTGAAGGGGGAGATCTGCAGGGGCGCGGGCGTCGTAGGGACCGCCCCCCCCTTCCGCTCCGGCCAGAGGGGCTCCTCCGACGGCGGCTGAAGAGCCTCCCCACCTGCGGAGGCCACAGGGTCGGGGTCTCCTGGTGGGCCAGGCTTCTCCGTGGCAGAGGAGAGGAGACCCGGAAGTGGGGGCGCAGGCTGGGACCCCGCTCTCAGGAGCACCGCTGCGGACGTGGCCTTTGGTCTCCTCTGCTTCCTGGACGAGTTCAGCTGCTTGAGCGAAGACACCTTCTTCCCGGGGGGGCCGGCCAGCTTGGTGCCGGGCTCCGCTGGGAGCAGCGTGGACAGGGCCCCGGGGTCCGGGTGCACAGGGGGGCCCGTCCCTTCCAGCTCCGGATCCCGAAGCTCTTCCCCCGACTGGGCTGGACTTGGGGCGGTTGTCACTTTCTCTTCCAGGCTGTCTTTGCTCAGACTGGTGCTCCTTACTGCTCCTGAGGGGAGAAGGAAAGCGCCCGAAGGGCCAGCGTCTCCCTCCAGGGGTGCATCTGGGGAAGAGAAAAAAAGACACCAGTTAGCTCACAGGCTCTGAGGGTGGCCCTCCTAAGGTGGCTTGTCAGGACGCTGGCGCAGCCTCGTCAACGGATACAGGGGCTGCCTCTCCCCTCCCTCCGTTCCTGCTTTCTCTCCTTCCCCGCTTCATTTCCCTCTCCCTTCCTCCCCCTGCTGGCCATGGACACTTAGGGCTGACCCTGCCAGGACTGAGCTAAGCAGTGGGGTTATAGAAATGGAGGGGCCCGGCCGGTGTGGCTCAGTGGCTGAGCTTCGACCCATGCACCAGGAGGTCGCTGGTTCGATTCCCGGTCAGGGCTCATGCCCAGGTTGTGGGCCTGATCCCCAGTGGGGACACGCAGGAGGCAGCCAATCAATGTTTCTAGCCCTCTCTTCCTCTCTTTCTCTCAAATCAATAAAGAAAAAAATAAAAATAGAAATGGAGCCTGGAGAAATGGAACCTGGCCGGTATAGCTCAGTGGTTGAGCATCAACCCACGCACCAAGAGGTCACTGGTTTGATTCTTGGTCAGGGCACATGCCCAGGTTGTGAGCTCGATCCCCAGTGGGAGGCATGCAGGAGGCGGCCAACTGATGTTCTCTCTCATTGATGTTCTCTCTCTCTCTCTCTCTCTCTCTCTCTCTCTCTCTCTCTCTCCCTTTATCTCTCTCTCAAATCAATAAAGAAAAAATAAAAACAGAGATGGAGGGCATGAGGGTTTCACAGTCTAGCTGTATGGGTACCGGGAGAGGGGACAGGAAAGCAGAAATAATCGCATTCGATGTGCTAAGTGCTTAGAAAGAGAGAAGCTTTGCATGCTCCCGGGACAGAGGTCGGGCCCTAACCCCGTCTGCAGAGCATGCCCGCCGGACACAGCGGGGCAGGCTTTTCACGGCACAGGGACAGTCCCTGAAGAGGAGGAGGCGCAGTAACCAGCCCACATGCTCCTCTTCAAACTCTGTGCCTGGCTCGGGGCTCTACTGCCCTGGGCCCGAGGCAGTGTGCTTTTTTTAAAAAACTAAATAATACAAAAGTGACCTTGTGGGAGACACAGAAAGATTTGCGGATTCAGAGCATGAGGCAGGTTCCGAACAGAGGATGGGAGGAGACTGTGGAGGCCTGGCTGAGGTCAGCGGAAACGCAAGGGGACCGGGAACAGTGGGGGCTAATTCCAAAGCAAGCTGGCGAGGTAGGGAGGCCGGGGCCAGGCCCCGGTGGCCTGTATACCCTGCTGACTCCTCTGAGTTATTTTTATCTTGACAGTAAAACCACCTAGTAACCTTAAGGCCTGGCCCCGGCAGCTGTTTGGCAGAATCATGCCTGAGATCAGTTTCATGAACTTATTTGAGACCCACTCTGCCAACTGCATGCTGACAAATGGCTTTACCTCTCTGAGCCTCAGTTTCTTCAGCTGTAAAATGGGGCTTTAGTTCCCTATTTCCTAGGGCAGTCCTCCTTCAACAGGTGAACGCGTGTGAAACTTATATACTTATACGTCCATGTGGGTGCCTCACCCACAGTGAGTGCCCAGTACATGCCAGCTGTCGCCATCGTTTTTACTGTCGTCATCGGAACACGACCCTCAGCAGGAAGCTGGACTGGTCAGAACATGCCCGATGACGATCTCGAGACAGAGAGGAATTACTTCCTGGGGACAGGGGTGCTTGGACTGATAGCCGTCCTTGTTGATTTTCTGCAGAGACTCACTCAGCCACAGTCGCCAGCCCTTCGGCACAGTCATTTAAATTTATTTCCGCAGCCGCTGGAGAGACTCATTACTTTCACGGAGTCAGCAGCAGTGGCTTCATCTGCAGAGACCACAACAGTTTGCAGCTGGGGCCAACAACTGCCCCTGTCGTGGGACACTGACTACAGCCAGTGTGCCCTGCGGGCTGACGGTGGCCGGGGCAGGAGCGGGCAAGGGGAGGACAGGGTGTGTGGATGACCTGAGGGCAGATCAAGGGTGTTCAGGGGCCACGCAGGTTTCCTGGTCCAAGGTTGAGGCTTCAGAGTTGAACTCGGGTTCAAATCCTGCCTTGGACCGTTACAAGCGGCAAGGACCTGGACAAGCCCATCAAGCCTCTTGTGTAATTGAGATTTTCCAACTGCCTCCCAGCATTAGGTTCGAGGGTCTGCCCCAGGCTGTGGCTCGTATGCTCATGGTCACTGTTATCAAATGGCTGATGGTGTGAGTTTTGTTGAGTCCTGTGGCGACATTAGTTTTAGCTCGTCTCTTCACAAAAATGTCCCCTCGATCACAAGTGGGGAGGTGAGAGAGGAAGAAGAAAAGGGGGAGGAGGAGGGAGAGAGGTATTAGGAGAACAAGGTGAGAAGACGGTTATAAATGACATAGCATGGCAGTATGCCTTGGCCATAGTAACAGTAATATTTATAACATTTTATGTTTGATCATTTTATCGAGTGCTGAATATGTACCAGGCATGTGCTAAAGGCTTTTTTTCTCATCTAATTCTTCATCTCGCCACCCCCCCCTTTTTTTTTTACTTCATTTAATTCTTTCTCAGGTGTACTACGTAGAAATTATTGTTCCTCTTTTACGGATGAGCAAACTGAGGCTTTGGAACATTAATGTTCTAAGGTCACAGAGCAAAGCTGGGTTTCCAACCTCGGTTTTCCTGACGCCAAAGACCACACCAGCGGCTCTCTTAAGAATGATGGGGAATTGTGACCACTGACCTCCTCCTCCTCCTCAGCTTGAAGCAGTCTCTTCCCCCAACTCCTCTCTCTAACCCGTCTTCCGTTTGCATCTCTGCGGGGCGAGTTATCTACTGTGTTTTTCAAACCTCCCCGATGATACTCCCCACCCCCCGCCATGCTCCTTGTTACAGGACAAATTATTCATCTCCTCTGCCAGACCAATCCTGTCTGGGTCTCCAGGGCAGCCTTGAAAGCTGACATTGGAAAAGCCCTGCCCAGTGACTCGTATTTTCATGGTTCTCAGGAAAGCTCATTTCCAGAGCGTGTGATCTCGCCTAACCTCCTACAGGTCCCTCCTTCATCTGCCTTCCAAGCGCCTGGGGTTGCGGGCGGCAAGTTTGTGCAGCAGGTGGGGTTCTCTTTCCAAGGCCTGCGACCTCCCCTGGCCATCCCAGCCCTTCGAGACCCCACACAGTCCGTGAGAGCAGAAGGAAATGTGGGAGAGCGATTCCATACCCAGCTGCCCCCCAGGGCCACCACCTGCACTGCTGGGGACCCAGGGGGAAGCAAGGAGCATGGCGGGGGGTGAAGCCAGCAGCTAGGAAATACTTTAGGAAGTGGATCCCGCTGGACTCCTCAGCCCTTTTCCTCTGAAGACCGACTGCCCAGGGGAGTTGCATACCCGTCAGGTAAATTACCTCCCTGCCCCGTGTTCCCCACTCAGAGCTCACACATGCCGGGGCCTCTCTGGCCAGCTCCGCACCCAGGGCCTTGTTTGGGACAGATGCTGTGTCTCCGTGGCCTGCGTGTGCGCACCTGCGAGGCCCCAAGGCCGTGTTCTCAGCCGCGAGGCCGGCCAGTGGACGCCATGCAACACCTAGTCCTGCTGGGAATCAGTCAAAACTGGATTCCAGGGCCTCAGAGATCCAAGGTAATAGCTTGCTCGAATAGGCTGGTTTTCCCCGGGGTCCCAATGACCACTGAGTTAAATGAACTCCGCTTTCTCCCAGCCCTTAACCTTCCCAGTCACGCCGTCACCTTTGGCCCGTCCTTGACCACTTGCGCTTAGTGCCCCGCCCAGACGCTGTCAATCAACCAATGAGCGAAAGCGCCAGGTGCCCACTCTCTGCAGGTTGACACTGCAGGAGAGCGTCCCACTCGGGTGGGGTCCCTGCCCTCAAGGAGACAGACACCACCCAACGGTCATGGAGTACTGATATCAAACAGAAGAGCGGGAGCTTTAATTCAACACATATGGTGCCGCTGACCTTGCGGAGCCGGAGCAATTCCTAACTTGGATGGGGAGATTGGGACATTTGACTGAGAAGCAGCCCATTAAAGTAAAAAAAACACAAAACGTAAAAAGCACCAGTTCTGAAGCACTGAGGCTGAAGGTCTGAGCCCTAACTTCCGGCAGCTGGGGAATGGCTCGGACCCACACGGCTGCCAGAGGAAGCCCGGATCATCCAGCAGGCGCACCGTGATGGGCCGCGACGGGAGGAAGTCGAAGCTGGGGGACGCTTCTGCTACACTGTTCAGGGAAATGAGCAAGATGTCAAATTCGATGGTGTGTCTGAAAACGACCAGAAACGATCAACGACAACAAATTGCAATGAAGAGAGCTGTCTTGAAGGCTCAGCACCAACAGGGTGCTGCCTCTGGGTGGTGGGACTGTTGGGGATGTGTTTTCTCCCTTCTCCTTTTTGGCATTTTCTCAAAACCTGTACAATAAATATTTAATTCTTTCTTAAGTAAAAAAAAAAAAATTATGGAAAGAACAGGGGTTGGAGGCTGCCTTTAGCAGCTAGTGATGGAGAGGCCGAGGGGAGGCAGACAGACCCATTTGTAATCACAGAAGTATTTCATTCACTCCCTGAGTCACCGAGCCCCTTCGGAATTCGGTCTCCTGGTAGGGAGGATGATAATTCCTCTCTCATTAGACTGTTCCTCTCGTGGTGAATACTTTTAAAAGGCAAAACTGGCGGGGGCATAGATTGATATGTTTTTGGTCAAGGGTTCTACAAAATTGTTAGTTACATGCTCATCATCATAATACCCGATTCAGGATGGTTTGCTGTATCTTCACACTCCATAAGGGCTTACCCAGCCTGCTCGTTGGTTTGCTTGGCCAACACGGACAGAACCCACAATTAAATATCATCTCTTAGGCTCCTAGAGTCGATGGTTTCAAAGTGTTCAGAGGAGGATCTTGGGGTCCAGAGAGGGGAAAATGGGCTGCCCCGGATCACACAGCACTGTAGTAGTGAAAAGGGCTATTTCAACCTTGAAAAACTACACCAGAGCACACTGAGCAAAACCCAAACCCAAACCAGAAACATCTGGCCCACCCTGAAGAAAGCTGGTGAATTCTATGACTTCTACATCTGGGCTGGATAATTCTTTCCCGGGGGGCAAAGGACTATCCCAGAGGATGTTGGGCCTCATCCCTGGCCTCCATCCACTAGATGTCAGTAGCACTCCTGGTTGTAACATCCAACATGGATTCCAGATAGTCTAGATATTGCTAAATGTCCCCTGGTGATAGGGCGGGGGCAAAATTGCCCCTGGTTGATGACCACTGGGTTAACCAGAGTAAACAAGAACAGGCGACTTAGCATGGCCCTCAGTGGAGTAGAACTTCCCTCCCATTCTCAGAGCTGCTCAGTTTTGTTTTGCTTGCATCAGTGAATTTTAAGGTTGGAGAAGGTCTTAAGCACAATCCCCATTTTATAAATAAAAACTTGGACTGAGTGAAGACTGAGTTTTCTTCTCCTACTCACATTTGCTCATCAATTTTTCCATTCATATCCATCCATCCATCCATCCATCCATCCAATGAACACCTATTATGCACCGACCAGGTGCAGACATCCAGGGGTCCACCTTGGATAGTGAAGAGCTGAAGCTGATGAGCACAGCTCATTCCTTTCATCCAGCTAGAGGGGACCCAGCACCCTCGTCTTACTCAGTCCTGTGGGCAGGAGGACCCTCAGCTAGATGAACGGTGCCGATCTCCTCTGGACTTTGAGAAGACTTTCTGGGACACTGGGTGGAGGTGGGAGGTGGGCTTGGGGGGCAGTGGGGTTCTGTCTCCTGCCTTAGTTGCAGCCCCCACTGTATGCCTGCGGTACCCATACGACGTTGAGATGGCAATGTACACTCAGGCAGTGCGTCCCCATCTGTGATCTCCTTCCAACCTCCAAGCAGTTCTGTAAGATCAGTGTTTCACTTTTCCCATTTTATAGATTAAAAAAAAAAAAAAATCAAGTCTCAAAGAAAGAAAGTGACTTGTCCAAGATTATAGAGCCAATTGGGATAGAGTTAAACACGTTCGGACATCGGTTCCCAGGGTCTTTCCTCTTTCCCACACACTCAAATTATTATTTTTCCCTATAAAACAGTTCACCTGAAAAATGCAAGAACACCTGAAACATATAAACTTAAAAGTATTGCCCAGCCAGCGTGGCTCAGTGGTTGAACGTTGACCCATGCACCAAGAGGTCGCTGGTTCGATTCCCAATCAGGACACATGCCCAGGTTGTGGGCTGATCCCCAGTGTGGGGCATGCAGGAGGCGGCCAATCAATGTTCTCGCTCATCGATGTTTCTATCTCTCTCTCCCTCTCCCATCCTCTCTCTCTAAAAATCAATAAAGAAAGAGAAAATGGTATAAGCACTGCCCTGCCCCTACCCTGTCCATCAATACTGCTTCTAAAGGGAATCAGTGTAAGTAGGATCTTGTTTAATCTCCAAATAATACGTATGCCTATAAAAATGATGAAGTGTTTCAGCTGGGAAGGTAGCACATAGGAGTGTGGGGTTGGAGTCAGGATTGTTTGTGTTCCAGACTCGGCCTGCTGCTAACTGCCCAGGAGACCCTGGAAGCCACTTCCCCTCACCGGGCCTCGCTGGTCCCATCTGCAAAGTGGGCTTGTACCAGCCTGATCTCCAGGGAGAACAGTGAAATCTCGAGTGGAAAGCAGGCATAGCAACCTGTCAGCCCTCGTTGTCACTTTCTGTCTATCTGAACAGTCCGAGTCCTTGCATTGTATATTTTGCTCCGTCACTTACTCAGAAGGGCATCTGGAAATATTTCAGTCATTCCAAAGGAGTTCAAGACAAAGGCAACCAATACCCCTGTGCATACGCCTCCAGCTTAAGAAGGAGCATGCAGCTGGCACAGCTGAAGGCCCTGTTTGCTCTTTCCTCCCATTCCCAAGACCCCGAAGCAAAGCCCCACGCACTGTCCCAGACAGGTCACCCTCCGTGGGAGAGACGGTGGGACACTCCCCAATACGGGATCAGCCCAAACCAGATCAGCTAGAAGTTGTCTCCCCCATATTCAGAATCCATCTCTCTGAAAAGAATCATCTAAGGTGATTATCTTCCGTGACGTTGTGTAGTTGCAGACAGAGCCTGGGGGTCATCCAAGGCAGACCAGACCCCATGGGCAGTCGAGGTCTTGGGGTTCCATTCAACACAGAAGAGCGGGATGGGCTCATCTTTTTATTTTTATAAGGCACCAAAGAACCCGTGTCCCTCCATGAGAGAAGTAAAGAGAGCAAGTGGTATCTAATTATAGGATAAAAGATGTCCTGTTATCCCCACAGCCATTGGTACGAAAACTGCTTCTCTCCCCGACTTCGCTCTGTGACTCTAGCCCATTCCATCTGCAGTGGCCAGAGGGACATTTCTCAACACCTGCGTGTGGCTGGTGGTCCTCTCTGGTGAACTAGAGACTCTGCCTCTTCCTAAAAGGTCCCTGGGGGTCTGTCCCCACAAGCCTCCCACCTCGCTTCCCACCACCCTCCACATCTCAGTGAAAGCATTTCAGTTCTCCGGAGTCCAATTTCTCTTCCCCTCCCCTCGGACAACACTTCGCGTATCATGTTGTTAACCTCTTCCTGCACTGACTCATCTTCTCTTAGGTCCCAGCACCACCAGAGAGACGCGTCACAGCACAGATCACAGTCATACTTGGCTGGCTTCTCTCTTGTCTTCCTACCGGGAGTGAGTTTCTCCAGTAAGGATCATGTTGCTCCTTCATGGAACAGTCTCCCTACCCTATTCCATGGCCGTGGGCCAGGCACATAGTAGGCCCCTCGTAAGTCTCTCTGTAATGCGCCATGAATAGGTCTGCAGCGCCGGTTGAGAACAAGATGTGGTGTGTTCGATACAGTCCACCTCTTTCGGCGAGGGACTGTAGGCGGGTAGATGTCGACACTACTAGTTATAAAGGTGAATCTGGGTAAACCCAGTGCTAGACAAGTGTGCTTTGCCTTATGGTATCATGTGTGGAGAGATGTTCTAGGGGAATGTACACCCTGACTTGTTCTAGTTACACGCACAGTTTCACATGGTCCCAGCAGAGAAAGGCCTCCCATCCCGTAAGTCGCACGGTTTGCTTTGCTTGGCGTGTGCATTTTCCAGGCACTGCCCAGCATGCCGAGGTCCTGTGGCTGGAGCGGAGGTTTTGGTTCGAGGTGCCCGTCACCTAACACAGCGCACGGAGCTGCACATGGGAGCCCCTGCCGGACCCCTCCAGCGTCCGCTGCAGACCCCCTCCCAGGAGGTCGACTTGCAGCTGGTGTTGAAAGGACAAGCTTGTGCAGGCAAGAAAGACCTCTTTCAGTGTTTGGGCAACAAGAGCAATTATCCGATAATTGTCCTCTGTGAGCCGGCTTCTCCCCCACTAATGGGCCTCCTTTGTAATTCGTGTTGGGTTCAGAAAGCCTCGAACATTCTTTGATGTCCAGTTCCATCTCATGGGGAGCAGCGGCCTGGCGGGCATCCATCTTCTCCATGAATGAGCCCTGAAAGCTGTTGGCACAGGGGTGTGATCCTGCCTTTGTATCTTTAACAATCTGATTAACTGTGGTTGCCATCAGTGCCAACTGATTAGCATGTAAACCTCCTCTCCTTCCCACCTCCGTGCCCACCTCCCTCCGCCCACCCCCACTCCATTCACGTCTCGGGGTGCACGCGGTGACTTCTTGTGGGGAGCGGGGGGAGAGGAACACGACATGATTTATGTGTGTCCGCGGAAATCAGCGAGTCGTTGAGGTAGGACCGGGAGACAGACACCCGAGGCAGCTCCCAGAGACAACCGCGGTGGGAATCTATCTAGATTCAATCACCTCTCTGAACGAATCTAGACGGTTCGCGAGTGAGTCTAACAGACATCCCAAGTTCCAGATTTCTTGCCACTTGTTAGCTCAGCATCACAGACAAGAAGAAAGAGCACATCAGCGTCCCCAAAGGCTCAGCGGACACGCCCAGGAGCGAAGAAAAGCCAGGGCGTCGGGAGACCTCACCCCAACACTGGTTACGCCAGCCTACTGCTGTGTGACCTTGACCAATTGCATCCCTCGAAGCCTCGGTTTCCCCCTTCCTCGAGTTAGGACAGTGACCTTTGCCCGATCAGTCAGAGAAACAAACCGGAAGGAGGGGGGCAGGTGCGTGTAGACTGAGTTTTTAGGTCTCGCGGCGGTTTTACAGCCTGGAGGCTCATTGCAGAGAGGACGGGCCTCTCGTCAGACCTAACCGACAACCGTGGCTTTATTTGCTGGGGACAAATAAGTCCTCGTGGCTTTATCTGCGACCCTGAGATGCTGCTTTCTTCTTTTCCTGAAAAGTAGCTAATGCTATTTTCATCTCAATGACAAAGTGCGGGAGGGTGTGAACCAGGGCCGTCTGGCCCCCAGACCCACGCCTGTATTTGTTTTGTCTCTGCTCCAGCTGGCCCCTGAGCCCTGGCCCGGCTGCTTCCCGGGCGAATGCCAAGTGCTTCCCACAACAAACAAACGAGCACAGGGTCTCTCTGCTATGCGGTCCCTGGGGACTAAGGAGAACGCCTGCTGTGCCCCACGGTGGCAGAGAACCAGGGGCTCCTCCTGAGCACTGGACAGCAGAGAAAAGAGAAAGAACAGCCTATACAAAGGCAGAATGCAAAGGCATCTCGGAGGTAGGGGAACTGGCCTAGCATTACCATTTTACAGATGGGCAAACTGAGGCCTCTGGTTCAAAAGAAAGAGCTCTGGATTAGGACAGAAAGGATGCCTCATGAGCACACTCTGTGGCCGTGGGTAAGTCCATTCTCATCGCTGGGGCTCAATTTTACCCTCTGTATAATGGAATGATTTCTTCGAACAAACGCTCAGAGGGACGCCCATGTGTAACTGTGTAGTCAGGGATTAACTCAGCGGGTCTGCGTTGCCCACAGCCTGCACAGTCCAAAGAAAGGCCCTTGGTTCCCGGGAAGGACCCTCTGTAGCCTTGGCACATCCTGTCCTACCTGATAAAAGTGGCTTTGTTTACCTGGGGACAGTGGGTGCTAACAATGTGACATATGTCCCTGGCCGGTTTGGCTCAGCGGTTGGAGCGTTGGCCCACGGACCAGAGAGTCCTGGGTTTGGTTCCCGCTGGGGGCATGTACCAAAAAACCCCAACACAAGACAAAAAGCAATGTGACTTAGGGTGGGCACCTTGGGCTTGGCACACGTTGGACCTCTAGACAGGCTGGAGACTACCATCAGCCACATGGGTGGTCACTTATGCCTATGCCCAGCCCCCAGTAAGATCCCTGGAACGAAGCTCACGTGAGCTCTCCCGGTTGGCAATACCCTGTGGGTGCTGCACACACCTCACGTTGGAGGTAAGGGCTGTCCGCACAACTCCCCGGGAAGAGGACAACAGGAGCTGTGCCTGGCCTCCCAGACTGCTGATTTAGCCTGTGCCCGTCCACTGTGGCAAACCTGAACTCCGGGCCTGGTGGCCTCCCGAGTTCTGCGAGTCCTTCTAGCCGAGTATAGAACCTGAGCGTCATCTTGGGAACCACCAGACTCCCACGATCAGCCAAACATGAGACCATGGGACTGAAGCAGAGCTGGAGTGGGAGTCTGAGAGCTGAAAGTCTGAGTTTTCCTCTTTCTCAAGACACGGATGCTGATGACGATGATGGCAGAGGTCATTGGCGACAAGTGCCTACCATATGCCAGGTCTTGTACATATTTTTACATGGATCATTTAATTTACTTCTCTAGACACCCCTGGAAAGTAGATAATATTATTACCCCCCCACCCCCATTTTACAGATGAGGAAACAGACTCGAAGAAGTTTTGTCACTTGCCCAAAGCAACACAACGAGTAGCTGGTGGGGCTGGGATTTGAACATCATTTGTAAAGCACTGGGCAGGATGGTCTCTCATATCCCTTCCTGACCTGATGTCGTCCAGGTAGGTGACTGTAAAGGACAGTTTATCTTCTGGGTCCATAGCTGAGAATGCTGGGGCTTGGAGGAAGGAGGAGTTGCTGCTGGTCCTCACTGCCCTGCTCCGGCTGCCTTTGGCCACACCCACTACCTTCCAGGTCAGCTTCAAGGGGGGCGTGGGCCAGAAATTGGAGAAGCCATTTCATTGGATTCTACCCCATCTGAGCCCACCCCTTCCCTCCAGTCTCATCCGACTCCACCCACCCTATCCCATCCTACCCGCCCCATCCCGCCCAGTCCATCCCAGCTCATAACCGTGCACCGGGCACATGCTCTCTGAGGGGAGATACAGGATGCACAACAGGTCGTCTCTGCCCTCAGCCTCCACGGGACGAGGTTCTCCCCACGCAGATGAGCTCGGTGCATGCTGGGGAGCAGCCTGGCACCATCACACCAAGCCCCAGGCTCCTCCTTTCTGACTCCTGAGCCTTAATGTCTTCCTCTTGGAGGCCGGCCAGCCCCTGCCCAGAGCCTACCGAGCTCTCATGGCCAACGAGAGCAAGGCTTGGGGGGTGGGCCTGGGGCGAGGTGGTGCAGAGAGGCTCCCTTCACCCCAAGCTCGGTGGGCAGCTGGGGGGTGTGGGGCCTGGGGGATGTGCTTAAGGGCCTTCAGAGTGGCCAATGTTAGCCCGCTGACCCGCAGAGACGACACAGAGAGCCTCAGTGTCCGGGGCCCACCTGGCCCCCTTCACAGGCACTGTGCCCATGTACACTGGCACCAGGCATCTCCCTGGGGGGGGAGGAAGGATGTCCGTTTATTCACTCAGCAGCCAACTCTGCCAAGGTTGGCTCAGCTCACGTGGGGCTTGTGACACAGAGGAGGAGACAGAGGGGTGCAGAGAGACGCAGGAAGACGACAACCTCCTTCTCTCATGAGCCATGTGGCTTCATTCACAGTGCTACTGATGTCTCACACAGGGGTGACAACAACGGCCCCTGTCTGAGCCTTACGGTGTGCTAAGTGTTTTACGTGCACTGTCCCATTTCATCTTCAGAACGACTCTGTGATGTCAGGACTGCTCACTTGCCCATTGAGCAGATGGGAAAACCGAGACGCAGAGAGGGAAATTCACTCACCCAGGAGCACGCTGGGAGAGGGTGGCAGAGCTGGGCTGCAAATCCTGGTCTGTCTGACATATGAGCCCCCTCCTTTCCCGCCCCGCTCCATTTCAGGAGCTGTTCAAAGCATTCCGAGTACATGTTCTCACTTCATTCTTGTAACAGCAATTTGTTCATCAATCCACCCCTTCATTCAGTCATTCAACACATTCCCTGAAAACCCTCTGGGTCCCAGGCACTGTGCTCGGCAGGGGGAAGGAGGTATAACTGTTGGAAACGGACTCCGTTCTCGGGGTGTGGGGGTGGGGGTGATGAGAGGGAGGTGAGCTAACTCCAGAGCCCTCGCTCCCCGCCTCCCAGGCCCCCACACCCATGTGAGGCTGCGTGACCAGGAGCAACCGTGTCCTGAGGTCGACCTTCACCTCTACGTGGGTTGTCTGAGTTTTCCACTTTGTATTAAGATGACCGGACAGAGCCTGGCGGAATAATAAGAGCGCGGGGTGGAGAACTCAGCTCCCTTGTGTCCGAGCCCACCGTGAGGCTGGTCATGCAGACCACAACTAGCTTCCTGATCCCAAACGTACTTTTTAATGCTTTCCGTAAACTTAGATCGAAGTGTAGCCGAGGCATAGGGAAGTCCACTCGGCTGTCTCAGGCCGCACACACCTGTCTCATTAGCAACCAGACCTAGAAGCGCAAATTGCCCGCTGTGTTTCCCGGTCACACTCCCTCACGGGTCCCTGTGTCGCCTTCTGTGGCGGAGGATTAGTTCTGGCTGCTTATGAATTCGCTGAATAATTACGCGGCATTTCCTTTGTGTCTGGCATCTTGCACTCATTATATTTGTGGAGTGTATCTGTGCGCTTGCATGCAGCGGTAATTCATTCCTTTGTTACTGCTGCGTGGTATTCCGTCTTGTGACTGTACCGCACGTTACTCGTGCTGCTGACGGGCATTTGCGCTCTTCCGGGTTTTGCTGTTATACTGGTGTAACTGTGAATATTGTTTACAGGTTTTTGGTGCACAGGTATACTCATTATCACTTGGTATTATTTCAACAGAGCACTGGTTGCATAGTATGGCATGTTCATCATTAGTAGATACTGCCCGAAATTGAGTACAAATCTTCCAATTTTGATTTTAAAAATCTACCATAGAGTAACTAGCAGACCAACAGAAACCTAATAATAATTACTAAAAAAATTATTTCAGAGAGGGAGGAAGGGGAAGAGAAACATAGATGTGAGAGAGATACTTTTTTTTTTTTTTTTTTAATCCTCACCCGAGGACATTTTTCCATTTTTTGTTCAGGTAGAGCGGGAGGGAGAGAGAGGAACAGAGAGAGAGAGAGAGAGAAACATTGACGTGAAGGGACACATCAAGTGGCTGCCACCCGCACGACCAACCAGGGCCGGGGACAAACTGCAACTGAGGTATGTGCCCTTAGCGGGAACCGAACCCGGGTCTTTTTTTTTTTTTTTTTTTGAGAGAGATACTTTGATCAGTTGCTTCCCATATGCACCCTGAACATGGGCCTCGACTGGGGATCAAATCCTCAACCTAGGTAAGTGCCCTGACCAGACTCGAACCCGTGGCCTCCTGCTGCATGGGACCATGCTCTAACCAACTGAGCCACACCAGCCAGGGCAATAATTACTCTTTTTACTGCCATTCTGTTGTTCCTATCCTTTAAGGACTTGGAAATAAGGGCACGTGCTAAGCACCACGTGAACGGTGTGGATGAAAACCCGAACCAAGTGAGTATCCATCTGAAGAGGTCAGTCGGACCTGATTCCAATCCAAATGTCCGGTTCCCAAGGGAAGGCCGGACACGCTTCATCCTCACTGTGGTGTCTGGATCATTAGTGGATACCCCATGACAGCCTTAGATGGGGATTGCCCCTCACAGCTCCCTCTTTAACTAAGTATGGAGTACATCCGGGGGGCTAGGTGAACTGCATTGGGGTTTCAGGATGGCTGCCCACTTGGAGAAGCAGAGAGGGGGGGGGTGGGGAGAAGGGTCGGAGGGCAGGGAGTCCAGCCAGGGGGTGGAGTCGCAGGTGTCCAGGAGTCCCCGGGAGAGCTTCCCACGAGAGCCAGCCTTAGGTAGCCTGGCTTTCAGTGGGGGGCAATGCATCCCTCATGTGCCGTCTTTACCCCCTCCCGGATGAGGATGAGATGAAAGGAGGGGTGCAAAGATACACCTGGGCAATTCTGCAGTGGTCCAGAACCTAACTCTCCAAGATGTCTGAACGCACACCTTCTCTCTCCGGGCACTGGACACGTCCGTAGCTGCTGTTCTGCAAACTGGCCTCTGACTTTTCTGCCACCCTGCCTTTCGCGTGCTGTTTCCTCCACCAGGTATGCTTAACTCCGTGACACACGAAAGCACATGTGCAGGCCGGTGTGCATACACGTGCACGCGCACACACATCACAACCATCAGCATCGACGTCTGTTTCCAACATCTTTGCTAATGCTGGTATTACAACTTAAAAGCCTCCTGCTTTGTTGTGGTTGCTTTTTTGTTTGTTTTAAGAGATGCAAAGGAATTCTGATCTTTTTTTGTTTTGTTTTGTTTGTTTTTTATCCTCACCCGAGGACATTTTTCCATTTTTTGTTCAGGTAGAGTGGGAGGGAGAGAGAGGAACAGAGAGAGAGAGAGAAACATCGACGTGAAGGGGACACATTGAGTGGCTGCCACCCGCACGAATGACCAGGGCCGGGGACAAACTGCAACTGAGGTACGCACCCTCAGCGGGAACCGAACCCGGGTCTCTCTGGACCACAGGCCGACGCTCTAACCGCTGAGCCAAATTGGCCAGGGCAATTCTGATCTTATAACTGGGGAAACTGGGCTCCAGGAAGGGAAGGAAAGTTGTTCCTGGTTATGCAGGAAGTAACAAAGATGTCTCAATAATAATAGTAGCCCTTACTAAGTGCCAGAAACGGGGCTACACACGTCACCATGCATCATCTTATTTATTCCTCTGCGACAAGTCCTATGTTTGGGTCCGTTTCATAGACAAGGAAACTGAGGTTCAGACAAGTAGCATTATTATCCCAAAGCTTCTGAAAGCAGGCCTCGCACTGTGCCTGGGTCTGTCCACCTCCAGGGCAAGTGTCCGTAACTGCCTCTGTGTTCTTGGTGCTCTGAGCCCTCCCCAGGGTTCTTCCTGGTCGCTTTCTTCTCATTGGATGGCTTGTTTCCCCTCTCTTCCTGCTCCTCCCCCTTTGTGTGCTAGGGTGTATCATGGGAACGACAATTCATTGGCCACAGCAGGGGTGGCCCTGGTGGGCAAGAGAATACAATATTGATCTTCCCAGGTAGGTTTTATCCCTCGGAGACCAGTGGAAGGGAGATTAATGCAGGGCCCTGACAGATAGCAAACAGCATCTATAAAGCAGCTTCTGTGACGGCAGGGTAACATGCTTTATTAGCCTCACGACAAGACAGCTTTGCCATCATTTTTGATCAGAGACTGGGTGATGTTAGGATCAAAATAAGTTTGGAAAGCAGCCACGCCGTTTAAGTAACGAATAAGAAAAGTCAAGTCAGTGGTCGGGGCTAGTGGGTCAGAGATTGTGGTTAACCCCGGTTTTGCAGAGGGACACAGCCAATGCCAAGCAAGTTCAGACCTGCAAACGATGATGCTGGGACAGTGCCGGAGACCTCCCCACTCTTCAGATTTAATCTCCATTTAAGTTCTCGATCCTCTGCCAGAAGCCTTGGGTATTGCCTTCCTCCGGACCAGGGCTTTTCAAAAGACCAACTGCAGTAGAATCTTCTAAGCTGATTTTTCAAATGCAGATTCGTGGGCTTCATCCCAGACCCCGTTAATTAGAATGTGGGGGGTGGGGGGGGCAAGAAATCTGTACTTTTACCAAGTATTGCAGATGAATCACATGCCCGTTGACTTTTGAGAACCATTCCCTTTGAAACTTCTGGGCATAGGGGAAATTATATCTCATAATATTCCCATAACCATGTAAAGTCGCACTGAGAGGCATAATGGTTTATCAGAGAATATGTTTAGCACTTCT